GAAGCTTTTTAGTTTATACTTTTTTTACATATTTATATTATAATAAAATAAGAGTAAAAGTAGTATTTTTAATATTTTATTTCCTCTTGTATAATTTTTAATTCGTAAATTTTTTTCTCATATTTTCTAAAAGAAAAAGTTTTCCTTTAACTTTCTCTATATAAGATTCACTTGATAATTTTCTTATCAGCTTTCTTCATATTAATTTGTTATTACGGTGGTGCTATAAAGATAATTTTTTAATATTATTTTTTGATATATATAATTTTTACATATTATTAAATAAATAAATACATTTAATATTATAGGACTTACATAAATTTTAAAAAAAACCAATAATATAAATGACACATCAGATTATACAAAAAAATAAGATAAAAAGATTATCCCAAAATCATTTTCCTTCTTACTAAATACAAAGAATTTGACTACCAAACAAAATTTTATTATAAAATTTATTAACTTTCTATATATTACTTTTTTAACTATTGTTTCAATAAAAACTTTCCTACTAAAGTTGGTCCTCCAACAAAACAAGTTTTTAGAGAGCTAACTTTATCAAAAAAAAAAATTAAAAAAGTGATTAAGAAAATATTTTACATAAAATACTTTACAGAAAGTTGATAAGTTATAAATAAATTTTCTTAGAATTTTATTAAGTTATTAACTTTTTTTTATTCGATAAGAAATTGATATAAAAAAATTAATAAAAAAATTATCAAATGGGTCTTACACAGGAAAAATTAGGGGGAATTCTTTTTCATTTCAACAAGTGTGAGAAGAAAAGTTTACAAGTTTAAAATTGTGTCAAAAAATAAAGATTAAAAATTTCACTTTTACTTTTATTTTGTTATAGTATTAATATGTAAAAATATATAAATAATTTTTTAAGGAGGAAAATTTAGAAAATTTTGAGGAGAAAAGTGGCTTGACAACCAAACGGCCCTAAGTTTCTAGCTGCTTTACTAGAAAAAAGAAGGGATTATTATGAACAAAGAAAATCGTAAAGGACTACAATGAACACTTTGAAAAAATTGAAGCACCAAGATATTAACTCGAAGATAAGGTACGTCGCGTCGGTGTCGTTTCAATGTCGTTGAGCTAAGCTCGGAGCCGCCGAGCCGATTATAGTGGTACTATATATAAAAAAATTCAAAGGGACGCCAGAAAGGAAATCATTAATCTTAAACAAGTCTTCGGTCCCACCACCGATCGCGAAAGCCGAGGAGAGAGAGAGAGAGAGAGAAAAAAAAAAGAGGAAAAAAGCGAAGAAAGCGAAACTTCTGCTGTTCAAAGTCCAAACAGGTTATTCTCTCCCTCTTTGCTTACGCTTTTTCTAGGTTTAGGGTTCTTTTACTTCGTGCCGGCAACGGCACCGGCACTGTAATCGCCGCCAATTATGGACTCTTTCTCGCCTTTGAAACTCTAACGTTTGAACCTTTTCCGGCTAAACAAAGTTCAATCCTTTGATTAATATTTTCCCTAGGGTTTGAAGATAATCGACGGGGTAAAAGATAATTGTTTTTCTTCTTTTTTTGGTACATTGGATTAGCTGCTTGATTATACAGAGATTTGAACCTGTGACTCTGATCCCAAATCAAGGCTTTTATGTTAATGGGTAAAAGAAAATTGTTAATAATAAGGGAATTGGGTTGATTCTATTTGGTCTGATTGGAAATTTTCTTGTTAATGGCCATGTAATTTGAATTCAACTTTGTAATAGAGAATAGACATTCCCCGGTAATGCCTTTTGTTTTTAAGTGCTCGTAGCTGAAGATAATTATTCGAGATTAAGTTGTTAATTTTGTTTATGGCTGAAGATTGGGTAGTTAAATTAATATATTTGTCCAGGGATAAGATTATTGAGCATGAATTAATGGCTGGTCTTGAATGATTGTCATCAAGTTGTAGGTTACATGGAAGAAAATTAATTGGAGATTGATTGTTAATTATGAGATGTGATATGCACTGGGTATTAGAAGATAGATTTGAGTGAACAGAAAATAATGGGGCTTCCTTATTTCAAACTTTAGTTATTGCTTTCTAGCTTTTGATTAAAGAAAAGGCAATAGCAAATATGGACATTGTGCTACGTAAAGAGGTACTTTTTCTTTAGTTTGTGATCACATTGCAATTGTTTCTTCATGTTAATTGTATCTTTTTATTTTCTTTTAGTATGGGGCAATTGGGTGTCTGTTCTGTATTATGTTAAGTTGTGCGTGCACCTGTTTGTAGTTTTGTATACAGTAAACTGATTGGCGATTTCTGTCTTCATCCTTTTTTTCCTTTGGCCATATTTTGTCTCCTTGCATGATTTGTTGCTTCCTTATATTGTCTCAACCCTCATAGGGATAATTATATCCAATGCAATGAATGGCTTTGATGCTCCAATTATTTGACACAGCGAAATCCAAATATATGACATTCTCTCTCCTTTTTGTTAATAATAACAAAGCACTATTTTTCAGGACTACATTATGCCTAATTGTTTCATTTCAATGAGAAATCTGAAAGCTTGAGTCAGTTTAAATGGAAATTCTATAAATTTTTCCTTTTTTGTGTGAACATGTGGATCTTCTTGACTGTAATTTTTTTTTTTCTTTGGCCAAAACTCCTTGATTGTAAATTGAGAAGAACATTTTGGCTCACTCAAAATTGCATGTAACACTTAAAATACAAACAAATAGTAACTAGTAGATTACGGATTTTTCATTTTTGTTTGTAAGGACTTAATTTCAGATGAGATCAACAAGAATTGTGAATAGTCTTTTTTCTTTCTTCTTATCATGTTCTTTGTTTATGTTGTTATAGTTTTGGTCGTGTAACAAGTAAACTCACTTAGAAATGCAAGATGCATACAAACGGATATGTGTTTGGACATACTTCTTGCCAGCCGCCAATTCATCCTATTATGGAAGGGAATAAACTACACCATTATCCTGTTGAGGGCCTCAATGCCAGAAGTGACTGGCAACATGATCCTGGAATCAGCTGGCCTAGTGATTTTATTAGACACAAAAAGTAAGTTTCTAAAGTTTGCCTAGTGCTACCCTGTTTTAAAGACCAAACAGCTTAATGCTGATCCAAGTCTCAATTTTTGGTCATTAATGTTCTGCAGTCCTGAACTTTTGGCAAGCCTTGGGTGGAGACAAGACAGTTCTGATTTTGTTACTGACTTGGAATCCAAACTTTGGATGATGGCTGCTCCAAAGGTCAGCATTTTTCAATTGCAATTGAAGATTTAATTCTTGTTGCCTCTCTTGTTTTCCTTTTTCTTCCTTTTTTCCTTTCTATTGGTGTGGGGTGGGAGCAAGTATAGTACTTATTATTTTGCTGCTAGAATTCGGATGGATTTACTCAGAGACACAGGGTACATTGGATTCGTGTCCATTATTATTGTAGAGAAAAACTGAATAAATGTTAGGTGCACAGATTGCCTTTTAAACAATGGATTACTTCTTGTTTGCTTAAGTCTTCAAGAATGTAAAGGTTTTTATGCATGACTTTTTTATGTTTTAAATGTTTGCTAGGAGGAGTACATGAACCTGGGGACTCTGAAACATCCACTGTGTAAAGTGTTTGAGAAGGATCTCAGTCAACAAGTTTCCTTTTGTCCTCCCTCACTCAACCATAAGGCAATCCCCAACAATTTGAGACTAAATTGCAGCTCAGGCACGTCAGACCTTTCCTTTAATGCTAGAGCTGATCATAACATGGCTGCAGTTGATCATATTAATCCCTTTGGCTTCTCAAAAGGTGAGCCCTGCTTTCTAGTTAAAATATTTCAAGCAATCAATTGCTTCTACTTTCACATTCATATAAGAAACTAGGGTTAATTTTTTATTAATATAATGCAGGAGCTGCTAGCATGTTCGCTACTTCTAATGGGCAGCATACATGGTCTGCTTGTGAAATGGCACAGACTAACAGTGAGATGGTTTTTTCTCCTGATGCATATTGTGGGGAAGGGTTTTATCATCATGAAGCCTTTGAAAATGGAGTCTTTTCTGGTGGAAATTTATTGCATTGTTCAGAGGCACCACTTAATGGCCATTTTCAACAGCAACATCTTAATGGTAAAAATTTTAAATTTCCAAATTATACATATTTTTTAAAGCAGGTTGAAAACTTTCTATTTTTCATGCTAGCATGAGTAAAATAATATTCATTTAGTGATGGTCAAAGTGTGATAACTTAATTACAATTACTTCAACATTTGCTTCATCTTGGCCTTCTTTTGTCCCTTACTGTAGTTTCACTTTTTGAATTTTATCAGGCCAAAGGAATGTTTCCTTGGGAAATATCCAGAACATTAATTCAATGGATTCCCTACCTATGCTGGGGGTTTATTCAGGGCTTTCTAATTTATATATACCTAGCTCACAGAACTCTTCACAGGCTGCCCATGAAGCTTCTGATGTTTTGCATTGCGTGGACATCAGCACACCTTGGTCAACTTTTCCACAGCAATCTCAATCGCAGATGTTGGAGTTACAACAGAACCAAGAATGGCCTCACCAACAATCCTTGCAGTCCTATGGTTCATCTGATGCTGAAGCAAAGGGTTATGTTGTTGAACAAAATGGATCCTTCAGGGCAGTAGTAGCACAAACTGCATCTGAGAAGTCCCAGCTGTCTTCAGTAGAATCACTGCATTATTCAAAGGTCAACATTGAAGTTTCTGATGTTTTGCGTTGCATGGACTTCAGTGCACCTAACTCAACTTTTCTACAGCAATCTCAGTCACAGATGTTTGATATGCAGCAGAACCATCAGTGGCTTCATCAACCTTACTTGCAGTCTGACGGTTCACCTGATGCCAAAGCAAAATGTTACTTTGTTGAACAAATTGAATCTTCCAGTACAGTATTGGCACAAACTGCATCCGAGCTGCCTCAGCTCTCTTCAGCAGAGTCACCTGAAAATTCAAGAAATATACTTCCCCTTGCTGTGAAACATGAGATTCTACTGGCTTATAGCAATTATAGGAAATCAGTGAGGAAAATGACAAATTGTCAAGATTATTTTCTTAAGTACGCACATTCAAGAGTCTGCAATCCTCAAATGTGTAAATGTGAACATGTTTCCTCACTTCTGTCACATTTCGATGCCTGCCCCCGTGGTGGTTGTGATATTTGTGAGCCTGTCTGGTACCTTTCTGTCACAGGTAAAGGCTGTCAAGAACTTGAAAATGTAAAAGGGAGCTTTGTAAAGGAGTTCAGTAATAACAGTAGTTCTGACAGGTGCAATAGTAATGGTTCAGAAAACATGCTGCCTCCGTCAAAGCGTTTGAAGATGACAGATCCTTCTCGTTTCTTGTCATCAGAGGTTGTGTTTTCAAACATGATGACTCCTCTGGAGGTTCAATCGTATGATCTTATGTTTCTACGTAGGTTGCTGTCACCTGATTCTCATGTATCTACTGATTCTGAGGTTATGGGGATTAACATGGAACTGCTATCAAGGCCAGTAGATGATTCTTCTAGTGCTAAAGAGATAGGGAATAATTCTACTGATACTTTTCCTATATCAGCTTCCCATTGTTTGCCAGATTTTAATGAAGGGGTTGTCAGCAATTGGAGACTAGAGGAGATGGACCTATCAAGTGACATCACAGAAAATGTCTTAGATTATGGTCACAAGTTGAAGTTCAATACTTCACCTGTCCTCTCTGAAGAGCAAGGGACAGAGATCAGGAATGAAGGGATTGTCAGCAACCATGAACAAGAGGATATGGACCTGCAAAGCGCTTCTGACATGGAGGAGAATGTCTTTGATTATTATTACTGGCTGAAGTCCAAAACTTTGCCTGGCCTCTCTGAAAAGAATGGTGCTGGTTGTGAAGTGGAAAAAATAGAGGTCAGTACTGACTTCAATATGGAAAAACTATACACAGTGAGCAAGCCAATTGAAAGAGAATCAGATTGTGGAAAAGAAATGAAATTAGAGAGTTCAAAGAGAATGAGTCCGTCCTTGACTGAAACTTTCACAGCAGAGCAAATAAAGGAACACATATCAAGTCTTAGATTGTCTATTTGTCAGGTTAGACCCACTTTCTTTACTCCTTCTTACTCTTTTCTTTTCTTTATGTACTTTATTGATTGAGTGAATCGATACTTCTATTTTTATTCTGAAATATGCTTGCTTACATGCAAATGCCTTACTGGAATGTGTCACATACACAGGCTTGTATATCTTTTGCAATATATGCATGCGTTGGATGCAAATACCATTATTCCAACACTTCATATCATGAACTTGTGTTTGATTGTTAACAAGCTTTAACTTGTTTCTTATGTATAGAGTTTACCAAAGAAAGAAAAGGAAAACAGAACAGTGAATATTAGCACTGGAAACGGATGCCAGTTGTGCGGAGCAGATAGGCTTTCACTTGCCCCAGCGCCACTATATTGTTCATCATGCAGTGCTCGTATCAAAAGAAATGTGACTTATTACACCACACTTGAAGAAAATGTAGCCCGCTATTGTTTTTGTTCCACATGCTATAGGCATTCTCGTGGCAGTATCAAAGTTTGTGAGAGTACTTTTTCCAAGGGAAAGCTTGGTAAAAAGAAGAATGATGAGGAAGTTGATGAATCGGTAGGCTAATTCAGAATGTGTAAAATATTTCTTAATCTTGAAAAGCTTAAAGGCTTACCTCTTCTTGTGGTTTTGCCATTGTGTTCTTTTGCAGTGGGTTCAGTGTGATAAATGTGAGGGATGGCAACACCAGATATGTGCTCTTTTCAATGAAAAAAACAATATCCACGGAGAAGCTCAGTATGTCTGTCCCAAATGCTGCTTAGAAGAAATTCAAAATGGAGACCGTGTGCCCTTGACTGGGAGTTCTGTTGTTGGTGCAAAAGATCTCCCCTGTACTGCACTTAGTGAGCACATTGAGCGAAGACTTTTTAGGCGCCTCAAACAAGAGAGAGAAGAAACTGCAATGGCTACAGGAAAGAGTATTGATGAGGTATGGTTCCAACCCTCTTTGAAGGTTAGTTGGGTGGCAACATTTAGTTGTAGGCTACTATAACTACTGTTTTTCCTGAATAAATTACTGAACTATACCCCAGAAAAATACAAATGAATGAAATAAGAATAATTACGGGGAAAAGCTTCAATCAAGGACCACCTAAATCGAGGCACTGCAAGCATCTAGCAGACATTCTTCCCCACTATTCTTTGAGTGTTTATTTATGTTTCCTTCATTGCATTTTAACTTTCCATCCTTGAGGTTTATCTTTTCATTTTCATAATCCTCTCTGAGTTGCAGTAATTTTAATGATCTATTGGTTACTTTCCACCCTTCATAGAACAAGTATGCTTATGTGCTTTAAGTAGTTACTGTATTCAGTTATATAACAGCAAACTCAGCTAATACTGTAAAAATCAATTTCATCCATACTCTGGCACTTTCTTACTCTATATTTGCATTCCTTAACCATGTTTTCTCATGTTGATGATGTAAAATGTTCTGTTGTTCGCTAGGTCCCAGAAGCAGAAGATCTTGTTGTCAGAGTGGTTCTGTCTGTTGAAAAACACCTGAAAGTGAAGAAGCAGTTTTTAGATATATTTAATGAAGAGAATTACCCAGCTGAATTTCCATACAAGTCAAAGGTATCTCTTGTAGTTAAATTATTGGTACTTCCTATTCATGTTTTTTCATATATATATATATATATATGGGGAGACCTTTCTAAAATGTTCTGGAAATAATTTGGTCTTAAGAATTTTTAAGGTAGCAGTAAGCTTCAGTCTTTTGACAACAATGGTTCCTACCAGACTTGTCCCAGGGAGACCATTGTTTGTTGAATTTGCACCCTAAACCTCTAGTTTTTATGGATTTTACCTAGAATAACTGTTTAGATTTCCATTTCAGGTTATTCTCCTTTTTCAGAAGATTGAAGGGGTAGATGTATGCCTATTCGGCATGTATGTCCAGGAGTTTGGTGCAAAATGCAGTCCTCCAAATCAGCGTTGTGTTTATATCTCCTATCTAGATTCTGTCAAATATTTTAGGCCTGAAAGAGAAACTGCAGCGGGAGAAGCTCTTCGTACCTTTGTTTACCATGAAATACTAGTATGTTGCCTTGCTTTCTTTCTCACTTGTTTGGGCTTTTCAGAGGTATACAGTCGATCTAGTAGCTAGTTATGTAATATTTTGTTCTATTTTCTATCAACAGATGGGGTACCTTGAACACTGTAAGAAACGAGGGTTTGTGACCTGTCACCTGTGGGCCTGCCCACCTCTAAAAGGGGAAGATTATATTATATATTGTCATCCAGATAGTCAAAAAACGCCAAAGCCTGATAAGCTGCGAAGCTGGTCTCTCTTTCCTCTCTCTATATGTGTGTGTGTGTATTTGTGCCCATGTTTATGCAAGTCTCTTGACTGCTAACCTATCCATATGTGCAGGTATCACTCCATGTTACAAAAAGCCATTAAAGATAATACAGTGGTTGAATTTACGAACTTATATGATCACTTCCTTGCAACAGCTGGACAATGCAATTTCAAGATTTCAGCAGCTCAGTTACCTTATTTTGATGGTGAGCACTGGTTTGTTGCTGCTGAGAAAATAATCAAGAATCTTGAGGAAGAAAATTCAGGAGACTCATGTGGTAAGGTGAAGAAAACATTGACAAAGAATACATTGAAAACTATGGGACATGCAGATCTTTCTGGTGGTGACACTAAAGACATTCGGCTATTGCAAAAGGTAAAAGTTTCCTATAACTCACCTTTTTAGTTTTCTGTACTGCAAGTACAAGTTAAATTGGCAATAGATATTAGTACAAGTTAAGCCTGGACTATTGGTACAAATGGATGGACAAATGATAAATTTAAGAAATCAAATTTTAAGATGTTACATGGAAATACTGTTCTCATCCGTCTTTTGTTCTAGCTTATTCTGATTGAGTTCAATTTTCCTTCAGTGTAATTTCACTAGTAACTAACTACATTTTAATTTCATTTTTTCTACCCCTTTATAGCTTAGGCAAACCATATTTCCTATAAAGGAGGAGTTTCTTGTTGTCCACTTGCAGTTTGTCTGCAAATGGTGTCATGAAGCGATATTATCTGGGTGGAGATGGACTTGCAGTCAGTGCAAAAACTTTCATCTATGTAAAAGGTCATCATTCTGTTACCCCCTTTATTTATTTGTTAAGAGTTATGCCCTTTGATGGTAGCTTCCCATTATAGATGGACATAAACAAAATCTTATATAACAACATAATAAATGCATAAAATTTTACTAGTTATTTCACATGAAAATGTACAAAATGATGGTGAATTTTTATTCTGTTTTCTATTTTAAGCATCCAGACCAGTTCTGCGAAATTTTTTAGTAATGAAAAGAACCATAGTATGTTAGTATAATGTTATTCATACAAATTTCAAGGTCAAAATGGAGCATGGAAGTGTGGAAATTTTGTAAATGTTATAAGTTGGGTAGATTAGTTGTATTTTCTATTCCATTGAATAGTTACTACCACGTCCTAATATCAGCATTCTCTTTCACCTCCCTAATGTAATTTGTAGCACAACCATATTATCAGGCCAATACCAGAATACATAACTTCAAATTTGCTGTTAGTCCTTTGCTTGATACGCAAACTAGCATTGAGCCTATACAAATTGCTCATTGCTTCTTACTCTTTTTTTTCATACTGCAGGTGCCACAATAAAGAGCAGAATCTTAACCGTAAGCACACTCACACTGTAAATAACGGGGAAAAACATGTACTCTCTAAGGTGAAACCCTAATTTCATTATCCGTGTCTTTTATGTTGAAAAAGACTGTAAATTTTTATGCATGATACATTGACTCTTTTCTGATTGTGTTTTCTCTTCTCTAATTTCAGATTTTAGTGGATGATGTACCACTGGATACTGAGGATAAAGACGTTATTTTGGATAATGGATTATTTGAAAATAGGCATACATTCTTGGGCTTATGTCAGGAGAATAATTATCAATTTGATACTCTCCGTCGGGCCAAGCATTCTTCCATGATGATCCTGCACTATCTTTTTGCTACAGAACCAAGCTCACTTGCTGCAACCACCTGAAAGCATTTTGCCATAAGGACACAACATTAGTTTACATTTTTAATGTTTGCTTTGCATGCTATCAAAGAGATGCTGCTTCCTTACATCGTCATAAGTTGACCATTGTCAGCTGTTGATCATGTGAGAGAGAGCAAACAGGTCAATTCACCAGCAAGCAGGAAGATCAAGAAACTCTGGGTCTGAAGTGTAGCATTTCACGTTGAAGGTTTGTTTTTTCTAACATTTGAAGGTTTCTGGTCAGCTGAACAATTTTTAGCATTCAGCTCCTCAAGTCTTCATAATGTCAATTTTACAGGGATCTAAAGCAGTGTATAGGTAGGTACCATTGTCAGCGGGAGACTTTGTTTCTTCATAACAAACTGCCTGCCATGGCAATCTGAAACTTAATCCTTCTCATGGCAGTTTGACATCCAAGCGTAAATACTAGTGTAGGGTTGTCAACTATATAGTTCGATTGTATAGTGGCCGGAGTGGCAGAACTTTGATTTTTAAAGGAACAACTTTGATTTTTTTTGTAAGCTAATCTCGAAGCGTTGAGCTTTTGTTTTTATTTTTAAGCTCATTGCGTGATATGAGGAAAAGATTTACTTAATATATCATTCATTTTTCATTTCATTATCTTATTCTTCCATCTTTCTTTCCCACATTTTCCTCCCAACTTTGGTAGACTAAGTTT